AAAAAAAAAAAAAAAAGGCAAAAGACCCTCCAGTGCTAAGAATGGATTTAAACTGAGGTCCAAAAACAAATGTTAGATAAATATACATTTGTCAAGGAAATATAAAAATGTGTTTCCAAAATAATGCATGAATGCTTGTTATTTCAATGTGTCAGACATTTAATAAATATTTTGTCATATATAAGTATTCAGTCTGAATAGGGCAGATACCCAATATTCAAGGACAAGGAAAACCTGATTGGGACATCCTTAGTCTAAAGTGTATTTTCCAGACGTAAATTTTGTTAGTTGTATTAAAAAGTCACTAAGGGAGTCTAAACTTGTGGTCTAAACAATGTTCATTTTATATATTTTTTAAAAGGGCTTGAGTCCTTCTGTTGTAATAATTACTTACATATATTTGTATTTATTTAAGTACCTCTAAGTACTAGTCTAAATGGCCAATTAAACTGAATTTGTTGTCTACAGCTTTGAAAGTAAATGACTTCTGCATTTCTTTTTTTCTCTATTTATGGGATGTTCAGAGGGTTTAAGAGACTTTAAGGGATGGCAGAAATATATGCTGATTGAATCACCAACAATCAAATATATCAATATTTGCTTGGAAAATCTAAATTAATGTGATAAATTTGACAGTATTTGACACCAAACTGGGATGGCCAGGCATTTTATGGGCAGCTGCCACCCCATGCCACCCCTCTAGATCTACCCCTGTTCTTTGAGAACGTACGGAACAATAACCCCAAAACTTACAGCTACATATGGCTTCTATGTTCCTACCTTTATAGTATAGTTGCTAAGAAGACTACACAAAATGCCCCCAGTGAGAAACATCTAGACACTGTAATACATGCAAAGCGGCCACTTTAAATATTTACACTCCATATTCCCAGCCAACCTGGCCTCAGTTCAGCTTTAATATCCAGAGAGGAGGAGTGAAAGAATGAGAGAGGGAGAGACAGAGGAAGACAAGTCAATCAGCTGAACCCTGAGGACCTCACAAACAAGCTCTGGGAAATATGTGCCGAATGGTGGCCATCACAGCTTCCATCGACGAGAACCGCTCAACAAACAGAATTATCCTGGCAAAGACTGAAATGAACTGCAATGTATTGTACTTACTGTAGTATGCTGTGACTTGCTTATAAAGATAAAATGTTTACATGTCATGAAAGCTTTTTTTCCCTTATTTGTTTTTACACCAAAAGGTGGCTTGACAGACTTGATGGGAGCATTTTGTAACCTACTATGTGGCAGGCCTTTCCTGGAGGAAGTGTTTTGTGATGCAACTTGGCTGGAATTGAGTGAATACATTAAAGGGATCAGTCCGGAACCGTTTTCTTTTCAATATACCCCATGAAAAGATCTAAAACAAAAATGAATGTATCTAATAACAAGTACTGTATCAAAGCCCTATATATCTCCTTACTCTGTGCTATAGAGCTCCATTGTCATCCATTAGAAACATATCAATGAGACACTAAAAATGATATATATTTAAACAGTTTCCTTTCAAGCGCTTGTGGAAGTATGATTCTGTTGTAGTTCAAGTATGAAAAATATGGTACATTTAAACAATAAACATACAGTATTTGTGGTTTTCTATTGAGCTAGAACAAATTCTAGCATTGCAAATATAATTTGGCATTGAAGACAAAACCTGACCTGAAAAAGTAAACATTAGCATTAATACACCTGTATTGGAAAAGGTTATAATGGCAGTATAAGGTATTGACCTGAAAAAATTCAACTGAAAAATAAGAGACATCTTGATATTATTTTTGTATTCTGATGTGTTTTTCAATGACAATCTCCAGATTTTTCCTCATTTCGCTTTCTTTACTTTTTTACGTTTCTTTCCCCCGTGTCACTGATTTTTAGTTTAAACTGTCTGGCATTTGCCGTTTAAGAGAAGAGAAGTGGCGTGACTTACATATCTCCATACTAAGAAAACTTAACTCCAAAGCAGTTTAGAGGAGTTTCTTCAACATATCTGGCCATAGAAAATTTGTGGCGCGAGGCACCCTGGTAGCTCACCTGGTAGTCACCCTCACTCTCTCTCCCCCCTTTCCTCCCACACTTCAGCTGTCACTATGGATTAAAGGCAATAAAAGCCCCGCCCAAAAAAATAAAAAAATAAAAGAAGCTTATTTATTAACTTTAAATTGTTTAAAACCAGCTAAAAATAGACTGTATGTAAAGCGTCCAGTAGAGAGAGTGAATGTTGTTTGTACATCCGCAGATTATTCATGCAGAATGAATACTGTTTTTTTTAATGCTGCCTGGAGGCTTTTTGCCCGTAAATCCAGTGCTTTCTTTGCGTTCTCCAGGACAGATCTACCTCTAATCCCCTAACCCGATTACTGTAACCACATAGCTAATTTACATCAGTTAAGAAATCAGTTTACTGCAAAAAGCCGATAGTAACTTGGTTAGTTAAGTGCATGTAAAGCCGCTGAATGTGATTTCATAAGGAAAGCGACTTTTCATTTGTTGAGCTGTTGTTGTCATGCTTCGCCGTGACTGGCTGTTTCACAGCTCTGAAACCAGTGATGCAACTGGTTGGGGGTGTATTTATTAATCATCACACCCTCCGATCTGTGTTCCCTGTCACTCAGCCTTTGTGCACTTTATGCTGCTGCACATGCATGAACCGAAATAGCAGGTTCATTTGGAGAAACACAGTCTGCGCACACAAGGACCCACTGCTGTGCACTTGTCCTTGTGCTTGCTTGATTAAATGGGCTGTGAATGTCATCTGCTGCTGACAAATAGTAAAAAACTACAGCAGCCAACAGCCAGCTGTTTAAGGGAAATACTAAGTCTTAAAGTTAGTTAAAAATTTAACTATGTATTTGTGAGGCATTTTTAAAGTCTCCAGAGAGAACCAGTGTGCTTGGAAAAGAGGGCCACTGACAGAGTAAGAAAGTCATAAAGTACTGAGACACATTTTAGTTTGTGGGATCTGGTAAGAAGAAATGTTATAGTGACGCCTATTTAGAGCAGATAACTACTCTAATCATTTCACAATGGGCTTGACAGTTTGTTGGAAATCTAACACTGGGCAGGTTTGCTGTTCACATCTCAATCATTCAAGACAGACATTTAATAGGGTTTTATTCAAAGTTATCCCCATACTGTGAGAGTTAAGGTGTCTTTCATTGCCAAACTGTAGAAATATGTACACTTTACAGGGGATTACAGTGATTTACATAAGTAGAGAATGTCATTAGAGTACAGATTTTTAATTGCCATAATTTCTATTACAGACCCCTGGAATCTCCAAACTTTGAATATTAATGACCCCTGGAACCCCTTTAAGACCCACGGATGCCTAAACAGCAGCTTGGGACATTCTTAAGAACCCCTGCAACCCAATTTAGGACCCCAGACCTCCCTCTGGCCCACCAACGTCTCTGGACCTGACTGTAAAACCACTGATGTAAAACAAGATCAGCACACCTGCCCTCCCATCATTTCATATTCCATTTTCTGTTACTCTTGTTCTCTCATCCTCTCCATTAACCCAACAAACCCATAAAAAGAAGGCACAGCTTAGTGTTGTGTATACACACAGCAGTGCAGTCAAGCATTTACCTGGGAGTTGACTGTCTGGCCCATGGGAATGCGGGAACACTCCAGAGCATACTGCTTCACACAGAAGTAACACCCCTGGCAGAAGGAAAAGGCACACGTAAAAACATTAATGTGTGGCTGACCAGTTGTTGAAGCCATCTATAGGTGAGAGACAGGATGGTAATTTAAGGCCTTTTAAATGGCCTTCAATGGAAATTGACCCCCTCAAGATGCATAAAAGGGTAACATCCAGTAGCAGCAAGACAGAACACACACCAGAAAACTAACTGTGATGTTTGCCTGGAAATAACAAGGTCACAGACAACGCATATAGGGGTCAAACATACTGTAGCCTGAGAACATGGAAATATAATAACACATAAGTCCTGCTCCCATTAATATCTTCTTCTGAAAGTAAATATTTTCCTTCTTTTCAGCTTGTGAAAGCAGTTGTATTCTGTTTTCTATGAATCTGTAGGAGCTTTGTTAAGTTTAAATAAATGTAATTATTATTAATTAGTTAATTAATAATTAATTTATTAATATATATTTCTTGAAACTTTCACTACATTCCTTACATGCCTTAGCCAATCAGAGCCAAGAAATATAGTTGATTGTTGAATCTCATTCACAGGTCGTCATATAACAACGTGGCTGCAGAGTGTTAGTCTTGCTCAAACTAAACCCAACATGCTTTGCTTGAAACCCTGAATTTTAGGGATCCACTGGTTTACTCTTAATTTGTACAACATGAAATCAACTTTGACTTGAAACTTCTGAGGTTTGTAATATCAGTGGCATTTTATCTCTTTGAGTTTCATTTTGTCTGTTACTGTCACATAGTGCAATACTTGTAGCCATTTTGTTTTAAATCTATGGTATGCTCCAGAATTTCCTGAATGTTGAACGTGTTAAAACATTAAAAGGGACCTACAGTGTATCATTGTGGTGTTAGTGATTCTGAATGCCCTTCAGGTTGCTCATCTCACCTGAAAAGCCAGTTCCATCAACACGATCCCCCCTGGCAGCGCCCTCTGGAGGTGATATGCAGTAGTGCCAGATGCTGTAGTCTGTAAAGTTTATTTAGAAGAAACAGCAGTTAGGGGTTGGGTGCCTTGCTCAAGGGCACCTCGGCAGTTCACAGGAGGTGGAACTAGTATCTTTCCAGCTGGCAGTCCGCACTCCATATTTTATTTACAAAACAATCTTACAAATCAGTTTGTTTAATATAGGCGTTTGAAGGCAGATACAGCTGGTTTTTAATCAGTGTTGTACATATTTTGTGCTGAGATTTTCTTCTAATACTTGTTACCACACTGTGTTTACACACTAAAAGATAAATATTTTCCTTGCTACTAATTTATACTCAAAAGTTCGACTTAAATCTTGAAAAGTCAAGTTTATTCATCACATCTCAAAGACACAGAGGAGAGGCTGCACGTATGACCAAGAATTATAACAAAACTGTATTTTCTGCTCTGCTAATCCCACTCCCTGGTTTTGCAGAGTACCAATAAAAGAACAGACTTTTGAACCAGTTCTAATTCGGAACCTGATTTTGGGAGGAAGCCCTGTTTGTGAGTTGGTGAAGTTGTTTTTAGTGTGCCACAAAGAAAAATAACTTAAAATCCAAAACACCTCTCGCTGATGTTAGCAGCAATGAAAAGGTTACCACCACCTGACAAAAAAATACACTGTGGTTCTTGAACGCCCTGCAGGGAATTGCACACTACAGTCTTTTTTCGTTATTACAACAACACACACTGTCAGCAACATTGTCTTTGGAAGCATACATCCGCTTTTCAGGGGAAAATACAGAAAAACATACAAAAATATACAGTGTACATCAGAGGTTGCGCGAGTTTCTCATTGTTTGTCATTCTGACAGACATGGTTTTAAATAATAACCTATTTTAAGGGCATAGAGAGCAAAGATGACCAGACACCGACCGTGCAGTCTTTTAATTTCAACAGTATTACTTGCTTGTTCTTCATCCTTCGCTGTGTCAGTCCCTCTTTTTTCCACCTCTTTTATCAACCACATCACAACTATTGGGCTTTTGAGAAAAACTTTAGACGCTCAGTTTTGCAATAGCTAGGCTATTAAATAATAGCTATTAGACCATTTTCACAGCAGCCTTTTTAGAAATAAAATAGAAGGGTAATCATGAATGAATCTGTATGGCCCACCTCACCACAACTCAAACTATATCCTTGCTGCGGTCGGAGTGAGTCCCTGATTAGCCAATGGAGCAGGTCAGCTATGCTTTACAATTGTCATATCTGATGTTAGATATTCCTGCAGCAGACTGCACATTGTTTTTTTTGGTTTTTCTTTTGCATGTAGTAAAACTGTTACTAATATTAATTCCAGCTTCCAAAAAATATATTCAGAAACTGAATGCACTACATGTGTAGGTATCAAGACAGGAATTAATGAAAATGTAAATTGAAAATAAAACATTACAAGTATTGACGCCAACAATGTTTCTAGGGAGCAGCTGGACAAATGGACAGTTACAACAGCACATCCTGCCTCAGTCCCCAAGTGTGTGTGTGTGTGTTTGTGTCTGTATATCTGCGAGGTGAACACAAACCTTAGGGCTGTCCTCGCTCTTCTGCTTTACGTAAGAAAAAGACATCCTCCCTTCCGATGACATAGAGCTCAGCATGGCAGCACGAGCCCGGGCAATGCTAGAGATGTGCGGGTGGGGTGGAGGACAGGGGTCAGTTAGGTTCTGCTCAAAGCAAAGAGGTCTGGGCCTTAGGGCTGATGGAGCACAAACAGCGCGTGGCCAACCCATAAGACATAATTCAGAGAGAGTGACACGGTCTGAGCCTAGAAAGTGGTGGAGGCAGGCAGGACAGGCATCTGCCCTGCATCTGCTCTGGTTATATCAGCCATGGGGCCACAATGCTGGGAGCTCAGTGGTCGGATTAGGATCAAAACACATATGATGACTAATGGATGAATGCTGCTCACAGTGGAGAAGCGAACTGGTAGAGAGGCAGAATTGGAGTGATACATTTTCACGTTTAACACAAAAAAGTGGCAGATAAATGCAGAAAAACACGAATGGAATGGTCAGGTATGTTTTTCATCATCTCATCTCACTCATCTATTTTAACATGGGTTGGCCAACCTGGATAAAACTAAAGTGGATGAAAACCATTTACTACTTAGTCTATTTCCTTTAGAATTTCATGTGCAGGACAGTGTTTAGCATGTAATAGACCCTTGTTTGGTCATGGAGAGAGCCTCAAAAATAATTATAACATATGCCAAACAGAAAACCCAGAGACAAACAATGTAGACATTTAACAGTAACTAAGTAAAAAAAAAACTGAAACATTCTTGTGGATACAGACCTGCGAGCTGGAGACTGAGGCCGGACCTGGACCAGAATGAAGCCCATGCTCTGCAGGTACTGGACATACTGCTGGAGGAAGGTGCTGGAAATCTCAAGCAGCCAGGGTTCTTCCTTCAGTCGGCTGGGCAGCATGTCAGCTGAGTCAGTGCTGTAGCTTCGGTCCCGACCTGATGCAGTGGAGTCGCTGGAGCGATGCCGTTTCTGGAAAACATATCAGAATTTCAAACATTTATAGAACAATGCACCCTCTTCAAGTACGCCAACCTGATTTTGTGCACCATTGTATGTTTTAAGCAAACAAAATATTTACCTTTAACTATGGCTAAAAGACACTAGATTACAATAGTTTGTTTGACTATAAACACATTTGTGTCCTCTCTGTGATTCATGAATATGACATGATAGCATGTCCCCATAACCTTTGGAGCTTTGCCATTAAGGCCATGGAAACGACTCATAGTAAATTGGCCAAAGAGGAGTCCTAACCATTGACACATATAAACATAGACAACATGACAGCTGTCCAGAAGTGAGGTCAAAACATCTTGATCGCCCTCTGGTGGCTGCCTACAGTATAGGTTATGAGGCCCATCAAATAAATATTTCCCAAAGATGGTTTCTGGCATTTTAGGCAGTTCTTATGACACTGATGTTTGTTTAAGGGTCCAAGTTTGGTTTTAATTAGTTATTTGAAGCTATAAAAATGGGGTTTCACATCATGATTGACAGCTGAGCCCTTATCTGATCCAATATTGGTATTGGGTGCTGATAGTTAGCAAATTCACATATCGGATATCGGAAAGATATCACAGATCCATGTACTGATCCAAATTCTATAGTCTGATGGTTTTATTATTTATCCAATAATGCAATTTTAAGCCCATAGCCAAAATGTGGTAACACAAAATTATTTAATTAGTAATTAAACTATTCTACTAAGATATCTAACAGTCTTTGCTCGGGAAGTCCAGAATCAGCAGACAGATACTGGCAGCAGTTTCTGTAGTCAGAAAAACAAGGCCATGTAGAGGCACTTCTGCCTGGCCTCAGCAAGGTCCTAGCAAGCCCTTCCCAGGGCTGCTAATACATTGTGAGTGTTTTCCCCCTGCATCTCACAGCCAGTTGTTTAGCTTGATGGTGTGTTGGATGTTTGCTGGTCACAACAACAGTAAGTGCCTGTCGCCTGCAGCCCTCCTCAGCCCACTGTGACTGTTACCGTTTGTACTACTTCCCCTGCAATGGATAATTAGACCTGTTTTGATTTAAGAATAGCCCCACTAATGAAGCTGACTTGGTAACAAACTCTTTACATTTTCTATAACTTGCTCATCAGTGGTAATCTTTCATGTGAAGCAGCATCAGCAGTAACTTAACACAGCTCTGATATGGCTTAAAAGAGCCGTAAAGAGTAAATAATATCAAAGTACAGCCAGGAACACATTAGTGAATGTAACCTCCAAATAGATCCAGTTAAAAGCTATAAAAGTACTGAGAGCTAAAAACAGAAACTTTAAGCCAGACCGACTCCAGCCCATGGAAACACCCTAATGGAGGCTCGGGACAAGGCCTACGACTTGGCAGAGAGGGACGGATGTTCTTATTCTATAGGCCAAACAGTGATCTCACAGCATCACACTGTCACTGGAGAGGTGACTCCAAGTCAATAATGTTGATTAACTGACCAGCAAAAACAGGGTGGTGGGTCTGCTGTTACTAGCCATCCAGACTGCAGAACTGGAACTGAGCAGTCATTTTAAGCACATTCATGGTAACTATTGAAATCCAGCAAGGCTGTGTTTGTTTTTGATTTTTTATGGAGCTCTTGATACCAGTGATCTAGAGAGCTACCAGTGATCTCGACAAGTGGACTGGTCTTGTGATAATAGTGATGTTGTCATGGTTAATTTAGAACTGAGCTTAAATTAATAGCCCTTGATTTACAAGTTAATCTGCATTCCAACCCTCATTTATAGTCAGTCATAAAAGGATACCTGGGCAACTCTACAACCTGGACCCAGAACAGCAGCCGGAGATGGAAGGATGGATGGACGAGTTAATTAGAATTAGACTTTCATTGAATTAGAGACAGAATTAGACTTTCCATGAGGACAAAGTTGTCAGGTACATTTTTACTTAAGAAACCACCTATTATTTATCTTTTTATATTGTTTGACACCACTGTAAATGCATCAGTGTTAGCCAAAATGCTTATTTTCAACAACAAAAAACTAGAAAGGCACCTCCACCAAGGCCAATAGTCCAGTCTTTTATGATATGCAAATCTGCACATTATTCACTGCTCCTACGCCGAGTTTGCGCTTGCGCAACAAATTCAGTATTTTTTAGTAGTAATAGTTTTACTTTACTTTTCACTTTAATAGTAAAGTGAAAAATAATTTGTGTATCTGCCCTGAGATTCGGATCCACTCCAAAATTGTTCTTCCTTCACCCATGCTAGACCCTTTCATGAAAATAGGACCTGTAGTTTTTCCATAATCTTGCTGACAGACATAGTTAAATGAACAACAGTCTCATCTTTTAATACAGCTTTTGTTGCTAGGGAATAGTGATATGTTCACACATGCTCTTGACTGAGTATTTAATAAGAAAATCACTATCTATAGATACCAATTAATCCAGAAACGACCTCCTCCTCCTGTAACTTTGCTTTAAGGCAGGTGACAAACATACCTTCACTGGAGGCTGAACGATCTGTTCCTCTTGGATCTGCTTGCGGAAGACGGGGTCGAAGAGGAGAGGGGTGGCACAGTAGTGAACCAGCCTGGACGACTGCTTCAGGGTCTCCAAATCTGTCCCCTGTTGGGACATCCACTGTTACTTAGGATAGGATAAGATGGTTAAGAGGATAAACTGTGATAGAAGTGGAATTATTGTGATACACAAGACTATAACAGCTTTGCTTTCAAGAATATAGTCTACAGGCTCAGCAGTGTTGATAGGCAGCTGCATCATCAAATATCTGCCAGATTGACATTAAACTTAGTGTAGTAAGTACAGGGGCTTGGCATTCAGTTCCAAACCTGACTATGATGCTGTCATATCACATCTAATACTTAAAGTACTTCATCCAGTGGTATGGAAATCTGCCTAAAACCAAATGTCAGTGGAAATGGCTGCGGGCCCTGTTGGCCCCGGGTCAGGCTGCAGACCTCCTCCTGCATGTTCTTGAGTTAGAGTGCTCCGTGGGTGTCTGTTGAAATATCAAATTCGTAAATTGAATGCCACCATGTAACCTCTCTCGAGATGTCACTGTGGCAGACAGAAACCTTTTTAATTAGCCCCGATATTCCCCACTCTCAAACAAGGCAATACTAAATGATTTCCCCAAGGAATGAACTGTAATTGTAGCTCCTCAAAGCCATAAAGTAGTGAGAGGCACCATTCCCCCAGGTTTTGTCAGGTCCAATTAGCTATATTTGATACTAGTTTACTTTCACAGTACAGGAATTTAATACTCAATTCTGACTTAATGGTCAGGTCCAATTTGTTGTTAGATTATGTTTCTTAATGTGTCCAATATTTTCACATTTTGAACTTGTCACCTTTGTGAACAAACCCCATGAGCAAAAAGTATATGCTATACCACACCAGGTTTCAATACCTTTGATGTCCATGCATGAACACACAACTGTAATTGAGCCTGCACTTCATAATCACATATGGTGCTGTCATCTACAGTGAGTATATGTCAGCTCATACCTGGCTTAATGCATTAGAATACTGTGCATTTAGTGGCTTTCAAATCAATCTCTTTAAAAGCAGTGGTTCGAACACAGGCTTGAGGGTTGTTAACTTGTTTGGCATCTGGTTGAATCCTCACTTAACAACCTATATTGTTTGAAAGCAAACACTTGGAAAGTTAAAAAGTCCAGTCCAGCTGAAAAGACAACCAAGATGGTTAAAAAAAAATAAGTCACATATTCACAGATTAAGTTAGCTAATGTTAGCAACTAATCAACGTCCATTATCAGCTCGCTAGTTAGCTAGATAGCATTTTGCTAACAGTAGCTTTCAGATGTAACTAGTTAGCAAATAATTAATGTTGATTAGCTAGTTTTGCTCTGAAGCTAAATGTGGTGGTTGAGTTAGGGTAAGCGTTACACAGGTGTGATACGGTTGGAGCGGTTCTTAAGTTTAGTTTTAGACTCAAGTTTAGTTGTGTTGCAACCACATTCTTGTGTGTCATTTTTCACTGAGGTTGCTTGCCTGACTTGTATCAAAGTCCAAAATCAGAAAACATAATGTCAGATGTTTATGTAATTTGATCTCTTAACTGCCATTCAAAACATATTATACATACTCTGTATATGAGGGGAATAAATAACCTGCAATGTGAACAGTATTTCAATACTGCGTTTAACTTGAAAATATTTAGGTTATGTGTGAATGTGGCTTTAAAATTTGGGATACTTACTGAAATGGGCATGTTGGACTGTGCTGACCTCTGCTGCCAGGTCACAAACAGGTTCTCTATCTTCATCTGTTTCTCCATTTCTGTAAGCACCACGACAAAACCATTACCCCTCCTGTCAAAAATTCTGTTATTATTGTTGGACTAACAGGGATGTCGTGGTCAAGATTTGTTGCCCCTGATCCCATTCAAGAGGTATTTAATACTGAGTATCTGTCAATATCGAGTCCCAAATCAATACTTGTATTTTCCTAGATAATACAGGTGCATAGTGCACACTTCAAGTACATTAAAGTTATCAAAATCAATCCAATGTATATGCTTGACAATTGAAGAGCTCTAGATTGCATTGCCTGCATCAAAGCTGCTCAATATAGCTCAATATAGCAGATAATGTTAAGTCAAAAAAATTTCTTGATCTGCCTCGATTCTGATCCTTGAGATCAGATCAGGACATCTCTGGTAGCAGTATTAACCTCTCCGCTCAGCAGCTTTGATTTCCAAGAGTTGGCCGCCATGTCGGGCCACCACATCCCCCTCCATCAAGGGTCGGATGGTGCAGACGTCCCTCAGAGCCTCGTCAAAGGGAAGCAGTTCCGAGGGGAAGTGAAGCGGAGCAAGACTTCGGCCTGAGCCACCCAGCCTGCCCTGCTCTTTGCTGGGTAAAGGAGGAACCGTGTTACGCAGCAACGCATCCGGCTCCATGGAGGGGCTCAGGAATGGATTGGGATCCTGGAAAAGACAGACAGAGAGCAAGAAATAAACAAATAGACGAAAGATCGTCAATTAAATGGTTTGGACAATAAATGCTAAACAAAACACAGCAAACAGAATGCCCATACCATAGTTCAGAGAGCAGAGAGGATGGGTACTTTTAATTCTCCCTCTTAGAATAAAAGGATCATCCAAGACGTTTTTGAGGAATATTCGGATAAAATTAGGCATTTTTGTCTGCATGGTCAGCTTTAACACTCATTGTACATTGCATATGGAACTGCACTATATATCATTGTTGATGGGTGTTCTTCTTATTGGATATTTCCAGAGCTTTGTTCATGTGCCCTGGTGGCTGTTGAGAGGAACTTTTGGGCAAGTTTGTTCAGCGGAGCAGCTCAGGGGCCAGATGCCCCAGTATGGCAGAGCTGGCTGCACCATGCCCACAGGCTGGAGGGTCAAACTGTTTCACTGGTGCTCCCTCTGCTTCTCATCAGGACCATGACAGATGAAGCTCTGTTCAGGCAAAATTTTCTGCTGCTCTGACTCTGCCTTCTGTCCGGACTCATTAGTAATGCAGTGATGAAGAGCAAGGCCATCGAAGGGAAAGGAAAAGTTTGGTTCTTTCTATTCTTTGAGCTTGTTTTGTAATTGGCCGTGGGGGGAGGCTAAAAGGGCATTTGGTGTCTTTCTTTGCTGTAAAATGCTGCTCTAATAAATCTCTGCTTCAGCCTACAGTGTAGGAACAACACTATGTGTGACATTTTTCAACCCTTTTTCAGTTTAAACTGAATTGCATGCTTGATGTCAATGTCAGCATATCCCAGATTGACCTGCTAGTGGTGCCCGAGGGAAAAAATTTGCTGCTGGGCCCCTATTAGCCCGTCCACCCAAACCACCATCCTCTCCCTCTGTAAATTCAGTATGCTATTCCTATGCTTGGAAACCTTTTGGCCAAGGGGTTTTTGTGTGGTAATTTGATTAAACACAAAGTCATTTAGGAGTAAGCGTCATGTAATAACTTGTGCTTTCTGCTGCTGCAAATACATGAACCAAAGAAAGAACATACTTGGAGACAGCCCATAATCTACCGCTTAGCCCTTATCATATCACTTGATACTGAGGTGTACATTACCAAACAAATAAATCAAATTACTGCAAACCACTTGACACTAGGGATTGTGCCTCTCCATCACGAGGTTAATGTGATACACATCTTGATACATTGCTAACGATCTGATACATTAAAGACACCACTGTGATACGAAAGGATTAACCCCTATTGTGATGGAGTGCAATTCAACACAATTTGATTCAACACAATACAATTCAATGTAATACGATGTGATGCAAAATAATATGATGCTGTGTAATCCTATATGGTACAGATAGTTTGACTTAATTTCTTTGGTAAGCAGCTTGGGAAACTGTTTTTCGTTGGTCACGTTTCTAAATAATAAAGCCATAGGGTCTGTATTAATAACCATATAGAAATAGTTTTCTTTTTTCCCCCCTTTTAGTTTTCCTACTTTTGAAAGAGAACCCAGAAGTTCTGGTTTCACATCCTTCAAAATGTGATTTGTCTTTGGTCATGCAAACTAAGAAAAACAACCAGTGGTTGCTTTTTAGATGGATGTGTATTTGCTGACTAATATTGAAACTACTGACTTACACTAGATGGTGAGTTATCACTGCATTCAGACAGACTGCACTGCACAGAATGCATTTCCTCATTCAGATAAGATTGAATTAAAATGTAATCAATTCTTGGTGAAAACAGTGTTCCAGTTGACAATCAGTATAAATACTTGCAGGCAGAGGCACTCACCCATATTCATGTCACCTGCAGCTCCATCAGTGCATGTTGCTGCTTTATTCAGGCTTATTTTCTGTTTTGAGTATCTCAGCAAAACTGCTGGACCTCTTGTATTAAATATGGAGCTGCAGATCAATATGCGACTGATGGTCTCCGTGGTGCAAACCAAAACAAGATTTCTCAGCCATGTTACTAAGCATTTTTATTCCTCTTGATTATTACCCCTCTGTATTTCCCACTGCCTTATGTTGTCCTGATCATATCCTGGAAATACAACCCTGTCACATCAACAGCCTTGTCTTTCAAAATGAAACACTTAACTACCTCACTGCAATTTAATCCCTGTCAGTTTCCATTTATCCTCCTGGATTATTTATGATCGGCTCTGGTATAGAGAGGTCTAAATAGGGAAGTTTTCATAGTCTAGTCTTTTTTTTTTATTTTCTTTTTTTACGTGTGCTGCCACAAAACTGTTAGCTAAGCATATTTAACAACCAGTCTTTCTTTCACACTCCTACTCCTGTTCTCCTCCAGCATCACATCATGAGTCAGCTGTCATATCACCATCACCGTTCCCACTGGTGGGTAAAAGGACAGCAGTGCAGAAAGACTCTAATTTGGAGTCCAGTGATTTTCATTTCCACAGAGGCAGAGCGGGTGCCCTCTGTGAATGTGTATGAATGTGTTAGTTTTGCAATTGCTGTTTGAATGTGTGTGATAGGGTGAATGTGGCATGTAGTGGTAAAGCGCTTTGAGTGGTCGGTAAGAGATAGGCGCTATACAAAGTTACGGTCCATTTACCATTTACCATTTAGTGTAAGAGAACATAGGAGCACTTGCATATACATGACATTCTGCAATTCTGATAGTAGGCTAGAGATAGATGGAGAATTGGGCTAACAGGTTTCTGCATCTAGTCTTGGAGCAGGTTGGGAAAACACTTAGGTTAGCTGGGCGGCCCTGTGCTTCAAGAGGCAGAGGTCGTCCCATTCGGAAAGGGTTTGTTGGCTTCGTCCCGGGGCTCCTCTGCCACGTTGTCCAGTTTCTTGAGCAAGAACTGAACCCCAAATTCGCCTCCGAATGCATAGCATCTAGTGTGTGTAATGTCTATGAATGAGTTCATGTTCCTGTTTCGATGACTTTGCATTAGCTGTGTTATATGGGTTGAAAGGTGAAATGGGGCATGAAAGGGTGAATGTGGCTTTGAGTGGTCGGAAGACTAGAAAGGCGCTATACAAGTACAGGTCCATTTACCATTTACCATTTAGCAGCTGCTGTTGAGCTACAATAACTAATAATATATATGTATGGAATGTTTTTTCCCCCATCACTATTAACATCCATGTCAAGTTTAAGGCCACCGAGCTGTAGGTTTTCCTTATCTCAGGAAGTAATAGGCTTCCACTGTTTCCAAAAAAATCCATTAAAACCAGGTGGCAGACACATACTGCTACCTTACTCAAGATACTACATTATTTTATATAACACATCAATTAAGACATGCAATCTATAATGTGATTTTATACTGCACAATCATTGCAGTTGTATCAAAAGCAGTTCTGTTCTGATAGGATTTTATGAGGAAATACAATTTCCTCATACAATACAATACAAAATTAGACATATTGTTTCACTGGGTTTAGTTTAACATACAGTAACTTTGAGTAATGAAAAAAAAAAAAACAAATGTAAATAACATTAAATGCAACAATTAGATTAATGACAGTGTGATTAAAAAAGCAGAGACTGAGCCCCAAAGTGTTGCAACAGAGCTGCCATGATCCTCTTTCAGTACAACAGCCCACATATACTGAAGAAACTATAGCAGCGGCAAAATGGCAGTGAGACACTTGGTTTGTCTATTCTGGGCTACTGTAGAAACATGGCAGTTTAACATGGCGGATTCTGTAGAAGAGGACCCGCTCCCTCTGTGTAGTTACTCATTCTAAGGTAACAAAAAACAATTCCTATTTTCAGGTGAAAACATACCTATGAATATTATATTCCTCAATTATATTCCTTATATTACTCAATGTTATACACTGGACCTTTAAGGTTTGTTGACTTTAATAAAATTCCGAAGGTCACAAATTCTACTGGAAGTGCTATAGTAGATACTCATTTATCTTGAGAGACTATTGACTTACAGAAGCTGGGGTCATATGTGTAAGGAATGATGGTCACTGTAGTTCAATGACAGGCAGTGTAATGTGCCGTATCACAGTAAATATTGTATCATGGTACAAGCAGAAACAACATACATGCAAGCAGATAACCTCATCACCCATCACTGAAATACATAAATACCATGAGAGCCGCATGTCAAAAAGGCTGGCAGTGTAACAGGTTCTGACATCATCACTTATGTGGGAGTCACCAGAATTCCCTCCAGGACACAACAGCTGTATGAAGTCTACCCCAGGACCTGCTACCTCCTGCGATGGTGTAAATCCAGATGCTGCCCTGACAGGCTGCTTCCACCTGAAGTAGGAGCTCCCAACCCCCACCATACTGTATGCAGACCTAGTGAGGCACTACGGCTGCTTTTTAGTGACAAATCTGAAGTGTGTCAGCATGTCTGTAAAAGCAGTCTGTGAGGGAGCACATGCTGAGGGAGGAAATCATTATTTTATCCCAGAAGTGCTGCTGAGGTCTGTCTGCCTCATTTTATTTTTTTGTGGCCAGAAAAAGAAGCAAATGGCTGTCTAGAGTTGGAACTTGTAAAAACAGTAAACCATCACTCATAATCCTGATGTACTCTTGTGCCTCAGAAACATAAGGGTCCTTTAAAAACTATAGCAATTTTAAGTACAAATCATTTTGAAATAAAAGATCTAGTTCTATTATTTATGTTAAACAGCTATACTGTTCATGGTTGTACATGAAAAAAAATATTTTGTATAATATGATCCAAATGAAAATTTCAGTGGTTACTTTCTTATTGAAATCAATGCTGACTCAAAACCTACCTTTCATATTCCACAAGCACACACAGCAGTCAACTGTGGTTAACACATCTATCATTTGAGCACTCCCTTCGTTACACCATGTGACTAGTGATAAGCAGATTAATCGGGCAGACTATCTAGCATTTTTGAGCCAATGTCTGCGCTAACAAGGCTGATAAGCAAAAAATATCTTCAGACACATCTGCAGGCAGCGTTGTCAGGGTGGCTGCTGTGGAACCATGTTAGAACTCCACCTTGTGAGTTTTGGGAAGGTGGTGAAAAAGTTGGTTTGGAGCCCTGTACTATAACTCTCATACATCCTGCTATATATACCGGCATTTCTTGTAGAATAGAATAGAATTTTACATGACTTTTCTTTGTTTTGATATTGGCATTATATATCGACCATCAGCAGCATTGCTCTGTAAATATCAGCATCATTACTGAAAAACCCATATCGACCACTGCTCATGACTGGAATTGTGGGGTAAGCTCTGCAGTGCTACAGAGTTACAGTGTTACAGAACTACCCTTTGCTGGGAGTTCTGACACTGATGAGTTGCAGTCACCACATCTGGACAAATGACAGCTAATGCTAGTTAGCCCCCATTTCTATAATGCAGGACAAACACAGCACTGCGTGCAGGAGCTGCCAATGGCTCGGCAGGTGCTGACATAACACAAAGCCAAAATAAGCCCTAGTGGGAATATTCAGTGTTAATGTTGCAAAGCTGTCTAAGCAGGGTGGAGGGATAAAATTGCTAACCGCTAATAGCTATCGTTTCAGGGGGTTCTCAAACTCTTTCATGCCCCACCCCACAATAGATGCACATTATATTATTTGTGTTAATAATTAATTTACTTAATATAACGGTTGTATCCTCTTTTGAAAAATATTGAAAATATCTACAGTATCATTAGAATTTAGTTTTATAGTTTTCTGTTCAACTATAATATGTCTAATAGAAAGTTGTAAAAGGTACAGGGCTGGAGGCCTGAGCTCAGTGAACTGAAGCAACAAATAATGCCCAGTGAATTGGTTTAGGCATGTCAGTCAGTGTCTTTACCTGCTTGGAGTCCATTTCGTGGATGGGTGCATCAGAGAAGCAGTAGTGATGGAAGAGGCCCATCTTCTGGTTGAGCAGGCAGTGGACGACGTGAGCCCTCGCGTTCTGCCACTTAACAAGGCGGACCAGCTCCCGATTCAGAGAGGCGCCCAGGTCCACAGACCAGTTGTAGCTGTACAGAGTCACCTGAAGCCGTGATGGTCACAATATGACAAATCAAAAACACCACCAAAGAGCTTGCACTTACAATTCTGAGTACATCCATTTTTAAAAACTCTTTGTTTTACCCACAAATGATGCACAAATTCAGTTTTCCCTGTTTTACTCCCACAGTGACAGTTTAAGCAGTAAAATAATGCACTTACCGGATATGTTGTTTAAAGAATTGCATTACAACTGCATAAATCTGTATCAATTCTTCTGTGCATTATAATCTCTAACTATATTTACCATACAAATATTTACTAACTAAATCTACTATTCTATAAAGCTAATACTCGTGTCATGCCAATGTAATACCCTTTAGTTACCAGTATAATCAATTAAGGTTGCAGTAGGTATCTTTCATAAAATCCAATATTGGTCTCTAACAAATAGCCCAAACTGGAGAGTACAGGTATTTCAGAACCCAGTCATCATGGCTAAATATACAAAATCTTCAGGATTATGTTGGAGGGGTTGTGGCCTCCCAAGAGACCTCTTACTGGGATGTACTGGGAAAGTAGAATTAATCTTGTGCAAAATTAAACTTCGACCCAAAGTTAATCATCTTACGAAATCAGATGGTAAAAAGAAAATGTGTTTATTAAGGACCTTGCCTATACTATCCAAAATAACTATTGGAATCTTATGGTCGCAGCAAGAGCCCCCTTACATAAAACAGTGGCAGCAAACAGTGAATGAAGTGCTCATCGTGGAAGAGGTCACAGCTACCATACAGCTGAAAAATGACTTTTTATGGAGATATAGTCACAATGGATACTAACTATGTCAAAGAAAGAGCTAAAGCATATAAAACTGCCATTTCTCCCGTTTCTTTTCTCTTTTTTTTAAATTATTATTTTATTGTCTGCTTAGTGTTTTCTTCAGGTACATTAGGTTTGCGGTTGGCTTATCCATATGTCTCTATTTCATGAAATCTGTATGAAAAGATATATGGTTATATTGGCCCTTTAAAGTTATTTCAACTGGTAAAAGTTAGTGGATGAGCTATAATCTTTAAAATATAACTCACATGGGTGAAATAAAGCCATTTGGGGTCAGAAAAGACCTTTCAGTTACAAGATCAGAGTTCAAATCACTTTTTGGCAAGCAGAAAAATGCATGTAATGAGATGGTTTGGCCCTTAAAAGATATTTCAACTGGTAAAATTTATAATGCAGAGTCGAGATTATTTACTAAATGATGAAAGTCCTAAAAACATTTGTTCCCACATTAAATAAACATCACCAAGATCAACCTTGAAGCCTGTTGAGTTAACAAGGGCTTGCAGTTATTATGCTGTTACTGTTATAGTTATATTTTACATTTTAAGTTAAGACACAGATGCTGTAGAAACAGCATTTGGATTTTTTAAGAAAGGCGTAATACAATGGACCTCATGCATGATACTACATGATAGGGGTGGGTAATTTGCAATATTATTTTTTCCCAATCAATTATCGATTCATAAATTCCTCTGAATCGATTCAAGCCCCTGGCCAAGGGTGGGGTGCAGGAGGCATAACACCTTTGTGTGACTTGCGTTGTGACGGGACGGGGCCGCACTAACCCCACAAAAAACATAGCAACAAGTGCAGGGTAAGGCGACAGTGGTTTAAAACCAGCGCCTTTCAACTTAAAAGCAGTGAAAAACCCGAACACAAGGGGAAATAGACAAAAGTAAGGTAAGTGTGTTAAAGCGTGGTGCCAGGCAGTTACTAAAATACCTGCATTAACACAACCAAATTTGCGCAAACCACTTAAGCCACACCGTGCAGATGCCTCGCAGCAACCCGCGGCTAAAAACCTGAGGATTCAAAACAACGGCAACTCTTGACAGACCTTCCTTTGCAAACTGTCACCAAAACTCTGCCCGGCGCACAGGAAAAAACGGAGTCTGTGGCCCTCTTTCATATGTAAGACCTTACGAACCGTTACGAGGTGTCGTGGAAAGACGGGGGTTTTAAGAAAAGCATGGATACCACACTTCGAACCACGATACGCCCATACCAACATGCAACACATGACTGAAGTCGCCGTCCCGAAAAGGCTTTTAAAATTATCAATAGCGTACTCTGATGAATTATTTTGTGTTAATCTACGTTACTGAATCGATATCGAAGCATTAAAATCAACATCGAATGCAAAATCATATCGAATCGTTACCTAAAGCAATCAACCTAAAGAATCAAAATCGAATCGAATCGTGAGGTTCTTAACAATACCCAGCCCTACTACATGGGATTCATAAAAGTTACCTGTTTGACACATATGTTAAAAACTGGACATATAGTTTAACCCTAACCCTTTTCACTCTGTTTAACAAATCATTTTCCAGGACATTTTTCAGGAGTTTTTCTTGACAATTCAGGACAGAACTTGCTCACAAACATCACACATTTTAAAACGGTTTTTCCATTCCACCTAACATCTGATTAACCCAGTTTCCAAAGTCCAGGTGTTTTCATGACTCTCTAAATTCTGTGTGGGAACCCTGTTAGTATCTGCATGCTGACATCCTACTAGAGGTAAGTGAGACTTTGTTTTGGTGAAGCAGCTGGACCAGAGATGTATTCATAGCTCAAACAAACAGAACCTTTGGATTTCTAAGAGCTCTGTCTTGTTCTCTGCCTGGCCTGAGGGCTATTCACAATACAGAAGATCCTTATGCCAAGTCACCTTTTTGTCCAGGACACTGATGAAGAGGAACCTCTGGCGGGGAGCCAGTCCTGCACTGGCCTGGCCAGGACTGAACGAATCACTCTGCTCCAGAGCCTCGAAGCGCTGGAAGCCCTTATGAGCTGGGCAGAAGAGAGAGAAACTCAGTGAGGTGGAAAAGCAATATAAATCAAAGGCAGACGGCAGCCGTGGCAAGTCCTTCCACACGGGCTCCCTGCTGACTGTTAGGACATTCTTTCATCTGTTCTCTACCTAACTGAGGGCTTACAGTCACTGGACAGCAATGTACCATGACTTTGAGATCAACTTTTTACATGTAATTACTTTTCATTTGTGCATTTATTGGGGGGACTGGCTCACTGGGTCTTTATAAGCCCAGAGGCCAAGTGCACTGAATTACCCTGGATTCTCTGAGAGCTTTGCAAGGTTTGACTGAAAAATGGGTCAAACACAGAGCATTTATTCTTTGCATTCCACAGTAACGTGAGGGATATTTTCCAGATTCCATCCATTTTCCATTTCCATATCTATCTGTAGATAGGATACTCTATCTTAGCATGAAGGAAACAGAAAATGATGAGGCAATGGTACCAGATTCAAATTCAACTTGCAGAAGACTTAATGTGTGCTTCAACCTTTTAAAGCCAAAGGAGAAAAAGCAGCTTTACAGCTATTTATTACTGCAATGCAACAATGAAACTGCACTATAATTTATATACTATTTGTTTTTATTATCTTGTCAATGTCTAATTTACTTCACTCTATCAGTTTTTAATGTATTCCATTTTCTCTTTCATTGTCTTTTAAACCAACTAAATAATCGGTATTTGTAGCCATACTCTGAGTGGGTGGGGTGTAAAAAGATATGTGGGTGGTACTTGAGTCTATTGTGGCTGGGGCTTACTGAACTTGTAATTTAAGCCTGCAAGTGATATGGGTTGATTAGAAGTTGCTATATCTATTAGAAAACTTTTTTTTTTTACTAGTTTTACTATTTTTTGATCACAAGAGTAAGATAATTATTTAAAGAGCAAGTTTGTTTTATAAAATAATTGCTATATTTACATGTATGGAGCATTGTAAGTACATCATCTGTACCAAACACTCGTTTCAGCCAAATACTCATTCAACCCTACTACTTAAGTTACTGTTGTAACTAACTGAAGTTATAAACGATTCAAATTCAAAGATTTAGTTACCATAAAACTCCAATTGAAAGCAGGTCCCCTTTACTAGCTTGGTGTGGCTTCACATTTTGATTATTAAACGCAGGGCTCAATTAGAGGCCTGGTCTGGATTTTATAGAAGTACTTTGGATGTATAAAACCTCTTAAAATTATACATGAGCGAGTTCTAAGCTAAACAAATGCAAATGTTTAAACTTTTCTTTTTGTTGGACATGCTACACATCAATAGACAGACATCAAAGATTCTCCACAATTCAATTGTTCGGTTCAGTCGAATCGATGTATCAAAGTTCATTTGAATGATTTGTTATTAAATAGCCACATGATTATATACGTAGTATGTATAGTAATAATATTCATACTGGTTAAAACAAACAATTTGATAGTATTTCCCATTTTTGTTGAGGGAAGAAGAAGAAGAGTTTTGTATGAAAAGGATTAAAGGCCTGTCCTATATATAGGCCTGAGGCCTGTTCCAAATCAAGGCAGGTTGAAATCAGAGATTGAAGCAAATAAAACAAACAAAAAACAAAAGCTCTATCTCTGTAGGGATCCTTTCCATAATGTTGTCTCTTAGAATAACAATCTGAGCTTGTCAGTGGCATAAACTTTTAATGGACATACTTTTAATGGACCAAAATCACAGATGCCCCTTTTAATTACTTGACTGTGCTTTGTGCCACGCACCTTGACTCGCAAAAATAGGGCCCAATGTCTCTGTTTTATGCCTTATGTAAAGATGCAAAGCATTTGAATTGCTTTTGTGCAAAGAAAAACAAAAATATACATGAAGCACTAAATTCCTATCATAAAAAGCATTCAAAACATCCCATCAGCATCAATGTGTTAAGCTGAAAGGCCAACTTACGTGTGAACCTATTTAGCACTGGGGTGTTTTCCTCATCTGAACTGTCTTCTGTAGGCAAACAGAGATGGTACAAACAGCAAGGCGCATGGACAGTGAGACACACAGCTCGACACAAACTGATGTAAGCAGACACTTGCAAAATAACAGTTAATGTTAGACGGCTGCCAGCACGGACGGAGAAACACAGTTCTCAACACAGAGTCAAAGAGCAGTAGCAAGGACAGCATGTTAAAAGCCTCAACACAGAACACTCATGCTTGGACCTCTTCCTCTAAACTGCACAGGAGGTTAAAACAGGTGTTAGCAACATGCTGCTGAGTTTATTAAAGTCTTCACACTGTCAGACACTAATACAGACCTTCATAAACATTATGCAATATCAGCTCATCTGGATACCTTATGGTCTCCTAATGCTCACTTAAATTACACTGTAAAATGTTTTTTTCTTTTCTTTACTATTAGAGTATTCTCTTCAAATTTAAAGTCTCTAATTCTATTCACTTCATAGTAATGGCTTAAAAAAGAGGTCCGATATCACAGTTAGCAATGAATATTCTGATAAAGGTGACTGGCTGGGGCATTTCCTACATTTGGACTGACATTAGAGCAGTGGAGTCTCATTGACTAGAAAAACAAAACAAAATGATTTTTTGAGGGAAGCCAACCTTGAACTACAAGTCCCAGAAAGCATTGTAGAAAAACAAACATCCAATTACTGAGCTTTAAATCCTCTGACTGTGCTGCTAATGGTGAATAAAGTATAAGGTTTGGGATGTATAGAACTTGTTTGACAAACGCAGTAGATTACCTTACTTTTCAGACCGGCTTGTACTTTTGCTTCTGACTTCAAAATATTCTTAATATTTTGGCTGGTGATTAGACCAGAAAACACAGCACTGCGATCCAAAAAATCCAATTGCAGCAACAGATCCACAAGTTTGAAAACTTATAATACAGTTAAACAGGATTTTGCGTTTTATTTTGAAAATCATGCAGTAACAATAGAATTATGCCATTTAAGGTTATAAAAGGTATTATGTGCTCAGACTCCCTCAGAGTTATTTCCAAATTTACAAGTTTGCAACCACAGCCAAAACATAATATTTTGGTTCTATTACATTGGGCTTCTCATGCTATTGTTACAGACAAATGGCCATTTACAGGAACGCCAGCTTCACTAATATTATTTGTGTGGTTTCAGTTTAGTCCTTTTTTTGGAAATATATTCATTAACACTAAGTGCTTGTTAGCTTCTCAGTCACTGAGTCATGGATAGTTCAAGAAAAAGTTCAGATTAATTTGCTGCTGCAGCCTCTACATGCAAATGCAACCTAAACAGGAAAGTAAACAGTCAGAAGCGAGTATTTGAAAACCTAACTGACTATAGATTATCAATGGACTGATAATCATTTATTGTGTTGCAATGTGTATGGTATACAGTTAAGTAAGCAGTGCAGGAATGAGCATTGAGGCCGTTTGTGGCCGCTGTGATTGTTCAGAGAGACTGGCTTTCGCAGTTACCTTGCTCTGTGCTATAGTGCCACTGATAGAAGTTGCGGCCAATGAGAATGAAGCTCCTAGTGGTGCCTGGAGGCTGGCTGAGGTTCTGGACAAGAGGGAAGGGTACAAACATGTCTCCAGATGGGGGGCAGCTAAAAAGGAAGAAAAGAAACGGAGAAAACCATTATTGCGGTACATATTACACAACACTGGTCTGAGATGTACTGTACATGTGTGAGAATGAAGGGCTGTCAGACTGTTCCCCCTTCAGTCAAAACCTCATGGATGTATTGAGAAGAACTAGACACAGTTTTGGGGGTGGGCTCCATTCATTCTTTTTGAAGCTGCTCAGTGGCTCATATGTGCTTTTATCTTTTTTTATCTTTAAAATGTGGTTGCCTTCAACATAGATTAGTCAAGCACATAGCATATCTAAGTACAGGAAAGTAGAAAGTTGACTGAGGGTTTGACCAAGGCTTGCTTGGAGCACAGGGCAAAAAGGGGCAGGACTTATATAATAAAGTAAATTTCACAGCAGTATGTGGCAGCGTCACTTTTGATTTTCATAAAGGAAGGATGAGGATATGTATAGTATATTACAGTTTTGAACAAAATTACCAAACATTTTATACTCACAAACAACTCACCTTTTCTTTTCAAATGCCTTCACTGTTGTATCACTGGCAAGAGAACTGACCAAATTGACAATCTCTGCCAAGATGGAAGGCAGAAGGAAGTGAGAAGCAATTTCAGCAGTGCACTGCTGAATGGAAGGGCAGCCTGTTTATCAGCAGCCAGGTCAGAGGGAAAAACAGAGATACAGAGAGTAAGTACTTCAGCTTACACAATACAAAATCTCTTATCCTGAAGATGCAGTCTTTCTGATAAAGGTTTTCCTTGCAGAAAATATAGGAGAAGTAAATAACACTTACCAAGTTTAGACATGAAAGTGATCCAAGGCTGGCAGGTGACCTGGTAGATGGGATGCAGAGTTCCCACATCTCCCTCCTCCAGCTGAGACACCTGCCTCCTACACAGCAACAAAACATCCCTACTGCAATAAGACAGCTTTACAGGCCCAATAAAAGTAAAAGACAGCACTGGTGGTTTAAGGGCTTGTTGATCGCTGTCAATAATAAATGATTTCTTGGTCAAGTGCTGGGAGTTTTGGCTTTCACAACTCAATCTCACATGACATTTTCACATTTGTGAATTTTCACACATTAGCAATTGGTTCTGGTTATGTTTAAAACTGAAATACGGCTCACACGGCTACGTAAACGGCTTATTTCTCCATAAGACTGCATGCTATAATTTTTTATTACAGTCAATGGAGCTGCCCCCTGCTGGCCATGACACACGTTAGCTTCGCTTCACAGACCCGGAAGCTCTGTCTATTCTATATACAGTACTGTCAAAGAGTTGGTGTCATGACAGAGTTAATATGGAGAACGTGTAACATGCAAACATTTACCTACTTCCACATCCAGTAGAAATAGAGTAACATTGTCATTCATCTGGACACACGTTTGTGTCATCCTGATAATTCTAATAAATACTCTCCTTTCAGCTCTGGTTTGGTCTCAACCAAGTCTTAAAATATCTAGCACTTTAGATGCTAAATGGTCCACTATGTTCACCAGCTTGTCTCTAAATGTATCTGTCTTTTGGTTGGACAGAAAACCATACCACTAAGGCACTCCGCACAGGGTAAATAAATAAATGTATTGATTGCTTTAAAAAAATACATGTACATTTCACACTTTCTATTTCAGTCAGGTTAGATGCAGAATGGTGTCCTTTTTTTCACATCACTGCTTAAAAAGTAAGCACAGTAAGTAAGTTACAGCACACATCTGTTTACAATGTGTGTCTTTATCTCTACTGACTAAGCTGTCAATCAAACATGTATACTGCCCCGCCCCTTCAGAGGCTTGAAGGGTTAAAGAAGCACTTCTGATTAATTTCTTTCAGTGAAAATCAAATCTTTGCAGCTTTAGTAATAATTCAATGCAGTGATGTTACTGATATAGTTGCAGCTGTAACCCACCTCTGCGCCTGCTCCAGCTCCACGGCCATAGCTTTCTCCTGGCTCCACTGCTGCTTCACGTTCTCCGTCTTGTGTCTTCGTCGTGCTGCTCGTCCCTCCTCTCCTTTTTCTTGCACTATGTCGTCAGTTGTCTTAGGGCTCCCAAGCTCTGATGATTCTGGCTTACTCTGCGAGAATGGAAAGGGACACATTTGAATCGCAAATAACCGATATAAGCTCTGTGAAAAGTAGAAACCACCAACAAGGTTCCATCTGAACTCTTAGGTTGGTGCACTGGCTCATATAAAGTCTAAAATGTAGCAAGACGTTCCTCAAAAGATATTAATGCTAACCGATATAAAATTAATCTCACAAATAGCCAGTGACTTGCATACTGGTCAAGACTGAGATTGTTGTCATCAAGATTTCAGCAGTTTTTGGCCATGTTGTAGGCTAATGATTTAGGGTGCAGAGTTAATGAATTTGCATTTCCATGACCTATGACAAGAATATTAGCTTTATATGCCCCAGAAAGTTAGCCCTGAGTGTCTAAGATTGTCCCTGTACAGCAGGGTATCCTCTGCATAATAATAGACAATGGTAATATACAGTATGTCTTCTTATAAGGCCTAAAGGTAAAACATGAACAGGGAACAGGACTTGTAGAAGTGAAGAAGTAGAAGTGACCCATAATTTTGTAGTGCAGAGTCTATGAAGATAGACCTTTGTCACAGCAGCCATTTTGACATGAAATAGTGTATTTACCCCTCTGTTGGTATTAAATTATTAATGATAAACAGACAGAGGTTAAACACTCTGAATCAGTAGGTAGGTAGGTGTTATCATTATTTCAGTCAAAAAATTAAAAAGAAAATCAAAGAATAACTAGAGTATTATTAATTAAAATTTTCAATTCAATTTTATTTGTATAGCGCCAATTCATAACAGAAGTTATCTCAGGAAAATTTTCAAATAGAGCAGGTCTAGACCGTACTCCTTATAAAATTATAACAGCCTAAAAGCTATGACTGCCATTATATGACCCATTTACAATAATATGTCTGAGTATTGTAATAAATACTAAAGCACCAGAGAGCAGAGAGCCACAATGAAAGCTCACCAGTATGTCCCAGAAGCTCCGGCGGGTGCTCTTGCTGGTGGGTGTTGTGGACTCGGGTGTGCTGGTCCCTGTCACAGGGATGCCAACCACAGCTTGGGTTAAGGTGATAGGAGAAGGGCTGGTTTTAAAGACCCGTGAGCCGCTGCGCTGTCTGGGGCTGTCCTTAACTTCTTTCACTTCAGGCAAAGTAATCAACAGTCCTGAAGACACATTTCAGAAAGAGATGACCACAAAGAAGTAAAATTTACATTTTATGTCGCAGAGTAGTTTTGAGTCCCTTTGAACTACAATTCCACAAACGCGGCTGTGGCTCAGAGGTAGAGCGGAGCGGGTCGTCCACTAATCCCAATCAGAAGGTTGGCGGTTCGATCCCTTGCTCGCTTCGCTGCATGTTGAATGTCCCTAAACAAGATACTGAACCCCAAATTGCTTCTGATGCTGTGCACTGGTGTTTGAATGTGTCTGAATGCTTTATGTTTCTGATGAGCAGTTAGAACCTTGCATGGCAGCCGCTGGCATGTAGTGTACAGCGCTTTGAGTGGTCAAACAACAAGAACTAGCTTAAGAAGTGCAGTCCATTAACCATTACTCAACCGTTTACATTAGATTACATTTTAGGGTGTTGTTTTTCTTAGAAAGGTCCAGTTTGTAAAATTCATAGACAATGATCTATTGTCAGAAATTGAATATAATATTGACAGTAATGTTTTCATTAGAATAACTTTAACCTGAAAAAGTAGAACCGTTGTGTTACCTTAGAATGAGTTGTTTTTATCGACTGTGGGAGTGGAGACCGCCATGTTGAACAGCCATGTTTCTACAGTAGCCCAGAACGGAGAATCCAAACACTGGCTCTAGATAGGATCTTTGCTTTTTCTGCGAGGTTTGGTTGCGGGGCAGAGAGGGAGTTGCGATCTGCAACTTCACCGCAAGATGCCACTAAATCCTACACACTGGCCCTTTAATGCTATACAGTGCCCTTCCCCATGCAATTAAACAAATAACCATTTGGTGATGACCTCACCTTTAGCCTCTTCTCTCTGAGCTTTGGTTGCGGGGCAGAGCACCCCCAGGCAAAGAGGATTTGGCAAGACTCTCAGCTCCATGACAACGTCACACAGTGCATGACGCAGTGCCCCCTGCAGTTTATCACTCAGCTGTAAGGGACTGACGTTGCCTTGTTCCCAGATGTCAAAACGCACATACAGCTGTGGTTCTGTTAGAAGACAAACAACTTATTATGTTTTAACACTTTGACATTGATAAAAATGGATAAAAACATTAGACAAAACATTAGAGAGGAAAATCCTGTTGACTCTGCACCTAATACGTTGTTTTAGTTCCTTATAGGGGATAAATGGTAGATTAGATTTAAAATAGATAAAATAGATAAATAGGTCGTATCCCCTCCGGGGTGCACTTTGTCCACCCAAACAGGTTGTGAGAGGTGCTGATTTTTAAGGTGGAACTGCTTTATTCAGTGTTTTTACTGGTTTTAATCAGCGTTTGCTTGTTTGTTTGTTTTGGAGAGGAGGAGACATCTGTGGATAATTGGGCTCCAGGTAGAAACCTCCTGAACCTTGAACACTGAAGGAATCCTAACCGGGAGGAGCTGACTGCAGTGANNCCGGGAGAAGCTGAGTGCAATGACTGCAATGGTGGTGCAATGACGCCAAGACAACAACTCCCACGCTACGCCATCAAACTTCATCTTTTGTTATTGTTTTGATGTGAGAGAACCCATAGGGGCAGAAATGACATGTTTTGAGTTTAATATTGGGTCAGCAGTACTAACAGTTCCCCCAACCTGAAATAAAGCATATTAATTACTACCATGGTGTCATTTCTTTATATTGAAATATAAAAACAGCACAGGACATATACTGTAAACACTTAAAGTTACATAAAACACAGAAAGTACAAGACAATGATTCTCGCTCTGTCAGGCTCAGCCACTCACACAGACTTCTTCCACTTCACTTGTACAGGCGGATGAATAAATAATAATGCTCATTCTCCTGCCTTCTGTTCTCTGCTGCTCTTTCATACACTCTGCGTTGATCCCACCAGTGTTTCATCAACATTTCAAATCATGCAGACTTTTAATATTTTGGGTAACCTTTGATTAACATGTCTTCAAACTACACACAAGTGCACAGATGGGGACATGTATTATGACTGTCACTGCACAGTAATGTTTTAATGAAGTCAAGCCACCATTGGAAGATGACTCTATTTTTAATCTCCAAAACAGCTGGAGTCTTATTTGTATGGCATTTCTTTTCTGTTGAAACACCAACAACAGAATATGACTAACACTACAAAACACAATTATATTAATAAGCTCCCAAAACTAAGATTTAATTTTGATTTATGGCACTGTGATGCAGTGTCACATTGACAAATTTAGCCTCCAGGAACAATATTCTCCTCATATTAAAGAGTTGTATTCATTAATCAGGAAGATTTACTCATTCACTTTTCGGGGCATTTAGTATTTAGACTTTAATTTAACAGCCGGACTGTAACCCAATGACATAGCTCAACATTTATTACTGTAATTACTCCATTTTGAAAATTAGTGCAGTTTATACAATGAAATGATTCCTGGCACTTGCTGTAACCTTGTAACTTAATTATATCCAATGTTAAATATATATATATAATATATATGCCGTCGTCGTCGTTTTTATGATTGTCATCGATCATAGTTGTTGCTTCTGTTGTTGCTGTAGCATCGTTTGTCTCTCTGTCTCTCTCTGTCTCTCTCCTCTCTCGTCTCATCTTTCTCCCCCAACTGCTGGTCAAGGCAAGATGACCGACCCACCTAAGAAGGCCGAAAGGATCTGTCACCCTAGGTTTCTGCCTGTTAAAAGGCCAGTTTTTTCCTTCCCTGTCGCCCAAGTGCTTGCTCATGGTGGTACTGTTGGTTCTGTAAATGTTATAAGGAGTTTGGTCCCTAGACCTGCTCTATTTGAAAAGTGTCCTGAGATAACTTCTGTTATGAATTGGTGCTATACAAATAAAATTGAATTGAATTGAATTGAATAATATATCCAATATATCGGTGCATCCCTAGCAAATGGCTGTTTCTTTATGATGTAACTCTTCAACCATGTGGTCACTGGGTAGTTACATTCTCATGCTTTGCACTGTATAAAGTAATTTTCTAAAGTATACTATTTATATATATACACACACAACCCTTTTTTGCTGTTGTGACAGTTTCATTTCTCAGTGTCAATGAAGTTTACTTCACGCTACCTTACCTTACCATATCAGTAGGGACAGTAATTGCATTCATGTGTGAATATGTGACAACTCAATGAAAACAAATGCATGCAGGGTGAAGAAGAAAAAGGCTTCACTTAATTACTATAGACATTTTTGGACCTTCATTTTTGCTTCATCTTGCATTTTCTGACATTTAGGCGCACTACTGCTCCAAGGCTCTATTAATTCATGACCTTCATGTCATCAGTAAACTGAGCATGTTCACATTTTACCGAGTATTTAGCTTTATATGACAGGACTAGGGACTAAAATGAAGACCGTTTTTCTTGCTGGCTGCTTTTGTATTGAAGGTTTATTTGGTTTTACCTACATTTGTTTGTCACTTCCTTATCCACTATCTGACTCTAACCACCCCATCAGGGTGCAAGTGCTGATTCGTTGTGTTTACCTGCACCTGAGATGCCGTTGATAGAGTACACTTTACCCACAGTGGTCAGCTCATCGAAATGGTCACGATGTAGGGGGATTGTGCAGTTCTCTGATCTCTGCGGTCGGGCACAGTCTTGAGCGTGAACCTGAAGGGGACGACCATGGGCGTCCACAAATGAGAGGGCGATGCAGGCAATTCCTGAAAAAAAGCAGAGGGATGCACCAATGACCAATGAACTTATACAGAGCATTAAAAACTGAAATCTAGTCGGCTCATTAGGATTCCAATTTCTGCTGCTTTCAGAGTCACAAATGATTTGTTTTCCTTCGCAATCATACAAACATCCGTGACAAGGAAACAATTTTCATACAGCCTTGGGGTTATAATAGGCAAATATCCATTTGTATAACTGGAAAATGTAATATTTTGTTTTAATTGTCATGGTGTCTGTCATCTTATCCTTCTGTTTTGTCACAGCATTATTATCATCACTGAAAAGGGCAGTCAACCTGTGATCCTCATTCTCATGAGCCTCATCACATCACCTCATAACACCACTTGTGTGAGACAGCGATGGGTTAGCTTTGACACTAGCTATTATTGCACAGTGAGTAAGCAGTGCCATGCATGGAGGGGGGTGGATGTCTTGCCTCCTGTCTTACAGACAGAGATGAGGCACAGGTGCATTTAGAAAGTAAAAGCATGTAAAATTTCCGATACTAGTTTAATCACACTAATATATATATATTTTTCATCAAAATCTGATTATCTGAATATATACACCAAAATCATAAAACCAAATCATTATCCGTTCACTATGAGAGGGAAGCTATTACACTGGTCACTAAAGGAAGCCTTTGAGCCAATGTCACTGACCTAGAAATCTTCCTGTGATGCAGTTAAACAATTACTATAACAAAAAGCCATACAAATCACTTTAAGTGTGGTCACTGAAGTGAACTGAATTGAACTGATTATGCACAAATGACAAACATATCAAAAAATCAATCAAGATGCTGTAAAGACAGATCAAAAAGTGCAATAATGACCCACAGCCAGCCAGCATGAGCATGCAAAGCCTTTTTCAGTGGCCCTTGGGAAAGTAAATAATATACAACACTACAATACTTGTCATGTTACATATTACATTAGTGTGGTCCTATAATTACAAGCTGCTAAATTAGATTAGTGATAAAA